TCTCAACCTGTGGGTCGAGACCCGTTTGGGGGTCGAACGACCCTTTCACAGGGGTTGCCTAAGACCATCGGAAAACACATATATAATGACATATTGTTTTTGTAATGAATCACTATGCTTTAATTATGTTCCATTTGTAACAATGAAATTGGGGGTCACCACAACATGAGGAACTGTATTAAAGGGTTGCGGCATTAGGAAAGTTGAGAACCACTGCTCTAAGGGGGTCTACTACATGACTAGAGACAGGCCAGAGGAGGAAGGTCAACTTGGGGACAAGTCCCACCCTGCAATACTTGTTTTCCCGGTTGCTAGGCACCCAGGGCTTTCCAACCTGGTGACCTTCTGTACCTGGCCTATGGCTCCTACTCTGCTCATGTCTGTCTAACTGCCTACTATATCAAAATCATTAGCATTCAGCACACAGTAGGTACTAAAAAATTTGAATGACAAATTATTAAGTAATAAACATTAAGTAATAAACATTAAGTATTAAGTAAGTAAAGCATGCATGTAAAGTATTTACCACCGTGCAGGTCTAGGAGTCAGTAGTAGTGCCTGTTAACACTGTATTCTGCCTGTATCATTATTATTTGTGTTTAATCATTTTCTCCATCCTGCACACAATTCTCACTCATTTTTGGATTCCACCAATGCCTAGCATTAACGTTACTGTTTTACATGGATGCTCAGTATTCATTGAATTAAACTGCATTTTAAGTCAATGAGACTTTCAGCATATTTACATAGAAAACACAACACCAATTTTTAAAGTCTGTCCCATTAAAACGAAACTATAATTTAAAAACTTATAAATACTCCCCAAACATCCTTGAGCCGTGACTATGAAATAAGGAGGTTGGTGTTCATGTCCCTTACAATCACACTTTACAGTTCCGCACTGACATCAATACAGACTACAAGTTTCCCATCTTTATTTTCAACTGATCTCACGTTACCTACGAAGGAACCAACACTGAACACCACACGGAGAAGCAATGAACTGCGAGTCAAAAGAAAAACAGACACACAGGAAAAAAGAAATTAAGTAGGAAAACTGCAAAATAAAGTGAGTTGTGGGAGACTGGGAATGAAGTTCACCAAGAAATGTCCACCCCGAGCAGACGTGCCTCGGCTTCCTGTGCTGTGCTTCTGCCGCGATCGCCTTTGGAAACAGGGGCACTTTGACAGCACAGAACTCGAAGTTTCTGAGCGTCTTCGGAACCAGAAAACCAGCTGATGATGTGCTTTCCCGGAGTTGGCACCCAGGAAGCCAGCAGCCCGCGGCCGAGAGCCGGGCTCACCTGGGCTGGGCTGGGCTGGGGTCTCGCCCCGCCGCCGCCCGATGGCGCCCTTTCGTGATCGCAGACGCGGGCTCCGAAACCTAGCGGGAACCCGGCTCCTCGAGACAAAGGCGAGCGCGGCAGCACCGCGGGACCCAACGATCCCCCCCCCGCCGCCCCCTGCCACGAGGCAAAATCTTGAGAGGTCCGAAACGAAAATAACGTTCGAGCAAATTTTCATGTTGATGAGTCTTATGAACGGATAATATAGCTCGGTGGAGAGGATAAGGGAGGAAACACAGCAAGTATACCACCTGGTCTCGTCTACGTGTATTGTAGTTAGAATGATATCTCATGGGGAAGGGGCGATGTTCGGGTGGAGTGCGGCA